GCTGAGCTGGGGCAGTTACAGCACCAACGGGGGGCTGCAGGCGCTGAGCTGGGGCAGTTACAGCACCAACGGGGGGCTGCAGGCGCTGAGCTGGGCAGTTAGAGCACCAACGGGGGGCTGCAGGCGCGGAGCCGGGGCAGTCAGAGCGTGAACCAGGCCTGGGGTTTCAAAGAGGCAAGAACAAAACGGGCCTGGCACGGGCCCGGTCCCTGCACTCACTCGGTTGTCGTACACCTTCTTGAGCGCCTCGTAGCGGATGGAGCCCTGAAAGATGACCCCTTGGAACGTGTTGGTCTTGTCACTGGCCACCAGCTCCACGCACACCATCTCCCCTTCTCCCACTGTCATGTCGCTGAACACCTAGGGTGGGGGCACAAAGAGGAGTCAGCCCCCCAGACCACAGCCTACCACACCCCTCTCTCGCCCCGGGCTGGTGGGAAGCCTGCCTGGAAAAACCCCATTTCAGAGGTGAGAACAGTGAGCCAGAGACATGAAGACATGGTCTGAGGTCACCCAGCTCTGCCGCCATTCCATGGAGGCAGTCTGCCGCGGGGGTGGCGCTGGCGGGGGCGGGCTCACAACAGGAACTCTGGATACTGCACGCTCCCGCGGCCCCCTCTATGACAACAGCCCGCTCTGGCCTTCTGAGCCGTGCTACCTTGTGCGAGGCACGTGAACCGTTTCAAGGGCATCTGGCCCATTTTCTGGGCCCTCCCTGACACTGGCTGTGAGCAGCCCCAGGCCCCAGCCCCTGCCCTGGGATCTGCCCACTGGCCGGCAGCGCTGAGAGGGGACCTGCCGAGGAGATACCCGGCCCCGTGCGTCACAGCTGTGTGTCACAGCCGGTATGTGCCGGCCCTACGCTTCTCTGGGTCATCACTCCCAGGGCCTGGGGAACAGACTCAGACTCAAGTCTCAGCTCCGCCACTAATGAGCCCCTGGGAACGTGCCTAACACCCCGGCCCTGAGATACTTCAAGACAACTCCTGCCAATCAAGACACCATCAAATCAGGAGAGACCCTGAAAGCAGACTTGCCTTCTCCACCGAGCCCTCCCTGAGGCCCTAATAGCTGCTGGGGGGTGAGAGGACCATCTAACAGGGACTGGACGAGGAGGACCACCGGATGGGGAGCCATGCAGTCCCCTCCCTCCTCCTCTGGGCCCCGAGTCCATGGGCGAGCCACGTTCTGCCCTGGGCCCGTTTTCCCAACCTTGTCCCAGGGAACTTCTGAAGTCCCACTCCCTCCGGCATGCTAGGACTCCAAGTTGGTGCAGGTATTTATTTATAGTTTGATAAACAGCAATAATGACCCTGCCTGCTTACACGGCACTTCTTAAAGCGTTTACGATGTGACCTCCGGTTCATTAGTTCCTCTGATCTTCAACCTCGTGAGGTAAGGAGGGCAGATGCTAACTGTGCCCATTTTACTGACGAGGAAACTGAGGCTCAGAGCCAGGTGAACGCACCCACCTTCAAGCACTGGGAAGAGTGACAGCCCCGTTTGTGTGAAGCCAGACCCTCCCAGACACTGGCCGACCCACCACCTTTCTGAAGGGTGTGAGGCCTCCGGCAGAGAAGCTTCTCCACACATCTCCTGACAAAGGGGGCTACTGGGAGACACGGCTCACCTCCTCGAAGCTGTCGATCATGAAGAAGATGTTGGGGTAGCTTATCTTGGACTCCTCCCCCTTGCTGTCCATAGGGTGCTTGCTGGGCGATGCAAACACTTGCTGAGAGAGATTAGAGTTCAAGGACTGAGGGAGGCCCACCCTGCTCACAGGTCCCCGTCACTCAGCCGAGCAGAAGTCCTCCCAGCCATGGTCACCGTGTCACACTGCTCAAGGCCATCCAAAGCGAGGGAGAACCACGCTGGGGAGCTGGTGGCATGGCCTCGTGCTGTGCTCCTTGCCCGGGACACTGAGTGCATTTCGGGAGCCAGACCCATCCCTCAGGGGCAGGGAAGGAGGGGGAGCAGACTTCTTCCCCGGAGCACCCGGGGTGGCCAGAGCGGCCCTTCCTGGGGGACCGGCAAGTGGAGGGCTGGGCTCTCGCTCAGCCGCTCACCTGGGATTTCTTCTTGTGGATGTGAATGTCCCCCCCGTCGGAGCGCGTGCACACGGCACAGGTGACCATGTAGTCCAGCTGGAAGAGAGGGGCAGGGCAGTGAGACGGGGTGGGCAGTCCCTCGAGGGCCCTGGAGGCCTGCCCCGGCCCCACCCCAACCCCAGTACCTTCTGCAGGATGAGGTTCAGGCAGACACTCTCCTCCCAGTCAATGTCAGGGTCTCCGAGGCCTGGCAGCTTCTTGGAGTCACGCCGGTACACCTCCACCTCCACCTCAGGCTCCGCGTCAGCCGGCTGCGGGCACAGCACAGAGGTGAACGCCCAGAGGCCTGGACCAGGGCCCCCCGGTACACGTCCACCTCCACCTCGGGCTCCGCCTCAGCCAGCTGTGGGGCACAGGGCAGAGGTGAACGCCCAGAGGCCTGGGCC